GGGGCGCTGCCCGCGCAATTTCGAATTCGGATGCCGGCGAGTCCTCCCGCCGCTTCACCCTCTCGGAAACTTCCGCACGGACTTTGCGAGTCCGATGCCGAGGCTTCCAGGCCTCGAACCAACCACTTCTACAACAAAAACCCGACGGTCCGGTCACTTCATGAGGCCGATGACGAGGCCTGAAGGCTTCGAACCCACCACCTATCCCTCAAACCCATGACGGTCGGAGTTGTTGTCTTCCGCCGCCATGGCCCTCTCCCCTTGATGCCCTTTCCCGTCCCGATGCACGACGGTAGTTTGTTTTTGTGGAAACCCTTCTGATTTTATCGCTCTGAAGTGATCCGACCCCCACGGGACTTCGCGACGACAGTTCGACTCCAGGGTAACCTCTGGCACGAAACGAGAGCCTCCCGTTCCGTCCGGGAGACTCAACCCCTACGGCCAAAAATTCTCGGCCACGCCCCTCCTAGAACTCTGATCGGCGACCCAGTACGGGAAGCCGCGAGGGGGCGTGAGGTTGCGTATCACACGCTAGAACGCTGTGGGGGGGTGTGGAAGGATCTGCAGAGGGTGGGGCTATATCATGACAAGGTCTTCCAGCGCTTTTGCAGACTCCCTCTGCCGCTGTTCTACATTATCCTGCCACACATTGCTCCCCATATCTAACGGCTACAAATTGGAGGCAGCCAATCCCGGTGGGGCAGAAGTTTGCTTGCGCTCTCATCAGGTGGGCGACTGGGGGCTACTAAAGGCAGACGGCGCATGGTTTGGTGTTGGGTCTGTGCACTGCCCTACAAAGTAACGAGGACAACGCGGATGACCTTATCAAAAAGTACGGGCACATCGTATCTTTCTCGACGGGAAGGAGGTTAAGAGACGATGGATGCGTTTGAGCAGAAAGGTTTCCTGGGCTGTGTGGGGGCAAGTGATTGCACGGTCTTTACCCATATCTACCTAGAGAAGTCGAGAAACAGGAGGTCAAAGTGCTACTACGACCGGACAGGGCAGTTCTCCATCGTCGCACAAGTTGTGAGACCGTGAATGTCGAATCTCTTGCGTCCATGTTGGATGCCCTGACTCTATTTAGGATTTGTGAGTCCTTTGGATATCCCCTTTGTATCACATGGCGCAAGAGGGAAGGGGTTTTTTCGGGAGCGGGTCAGTTGTTTTGAGAGACAGGCGGACTGTTAATCGCTATTCCCTACGCGAGGCAGGTTATCCTCTGCTGCCCTGGATCATGACCCTGGGCTAGTGTCGTGTCAGGACGCCTGTGCAGGTTGTCTATGTTAACTACCACACCTCTGCCCGATCATGCATCGAGAGGACTTTTGGGCGCCGGTTGAAAGCGGTATGGAGGCACTTCATCAAGCGTCTAATCGGGAATATGGAGATGTTATGCAAAGACTTCATGGCCATATGTATTCTTTCACAAAACAGCTAGGCTACCAGTCGGGCCGCACGGGTCACCCTATTTTCCCGGGCGGCCCGGCCGTGCAAGGACCAGGGAGGGTCCCAGCCAAAAAAAAATACTAAAAAATCCAATCCGAAAAACTACTATGTTATGCAGAAAAATAAACTGAACAACTGTTGCCTCAAGGTCACATCGAAATTCTTTACCAAATTTAAAGTAAAATTTTAAATTAAAAAATATATTTTTTTATTTTTTATTTTTTTTATTCCTTTTTGGCCCGGCCGGGCAAGTGGACCCGGGCCACTCTGGTAGCCTAGCAAAACAGCGATTTCGTCAAAACGAACATTTTTATTTGTTGAACGAAATCGAAACCGACTAATTTGGCCCGAATCCGCTTGACCCAGAACGGAATTTGACAAATTCGAGGGTCCGACGTTCTTAAAATGCCAGACCCCCAGGATGTATTTGGACCTACCTGGAGTCCAGGGTGTCCAGCGTTTTAAGAAGGCCGCACCCCCTAGATGTATCTGGACTTTGCTGAAGTCTAGGGACGCCGGACCCTCAATTTCGACAAAATTTCAACATGGCTTAGGTGGATTCTTATCAAATTAGTCGGTTTCAATTTCGTTTAGAAAATAAAAAATGTTCGTTTCAACGAAATTGCTGTTACAATCTCATGGTGGACTCGAGGGTTGTGATTGATCCGGAGCATTGTTTTTGGAGCACGGCGACAACGACGATGGTGAGGACGTGCATGATAGTCATCGCCATTGTCGTCAGGTGCACAATGTTGAGGCAGCACCCCAGCAACCTCCTCTGGAGGACGACCTTGGAGCTACTAGCGACCTCGGCGAACACATAAGATTGAGCCTTGTTACGCACGTGAATCATCACAATCATGTTCATGGCGTTCCTCAGCCAAGTCCTTGGCAAAGATGACCACAGAGGGATATGAATATATATATATATATATATAAATATATTTATATATATGTAAATATAAATATATATATAAATATATATATAAATATATATATATATATAAATATAAATATATATATAAATATATATATAAATATATATATATATATATACAGGGTTGCCAGCGTTCGGGACGGGCCGAAAGCCCGAACGGTCGGCACCCCCTCTCAACCCGTCCGGCCGTTCGGCCAAACGCGGACCCAAAAAAAAAAAAAAAAAAAAAAACTTCAAAAACTCTGAAAAACGTATATGTTATGCAAAACAACAAACTAAACAACGTTTGCCTCAAGGCTACATCCAAATTCTTTACCAAATTTGAGATAAAAATCAAATACTAAAATAATTAATAATAATGAAAATTAGAAAAAATAAAACGAGAATGAAATTGTTGAGTGGGCGAGCACGTTTTGACACCGCCATCTTTGGCGATTTTTCATTTTTGTTTGGCTGTGACAAACTCCATGAAAATTTATATATGTGTATCTTACATAATAGAAAATCTACGAATAAAGTTTGAAAAAATAATATTTTTTTTCATGCCCCGAAATAAAGAAAAAATAAAAAGTGAAAAGAGAGAAAAAACAAATTAGTGAGTGGGCAAGCAAGTTTTGACACCACCATCTTTGCCGATTTTTCATTTTGTTTTGGATAAGCAGAAAAGCTTCAAAATGAAGAGGGAGATACCTTACATCACAAAGAACTTACAAACACAAATTCAGAAACACATAATAATACTTAGGTGTTAAAATATTTTTTTGCGGGGTCCGAAACCCTTCAGGTTCGGGCCCCGTACGGGGACCCAAACACCCGAACGTTCGGGGGTCAACTTAGGGGCCTTCGTATGTTCGGACTGGCAACCCCGTATATATATATATATATATATATATATATATATATATCGTCACAAACAGAGCTGCCCGGTAAACCGTACGCAGAGAGAGAAAAGAGGACAACAAACGAGGGGCTGTGACAAACTGTTTCGTCGGAGTTTCACCGACTCATCAGGAGGCTGAATCCTCAACAGTCTGCAGAATCCCCTCACTGATTACACTGTAAATGATCATCTACCTTAACCAAAATCAAAGTAGACCATCACTCACCCACACCAGATGGAAAACGCTACAGACTGTCTGTTCACACCCCATCACAAGCCAACAAAACATCCACGAAACAAAGAAAGGTCTGTCACAGCCAAAAAATACACTCCAAACACGCCGCTGGCACTATATATATATATATATATAT